ACTTTAAAAGGTTTCAAATCTTGCTACTTACTGTGACCAATTCTGTACACTATTGGGCTCCTCCTCAGTAGCAGATTTAACAGTCAATTCTTGGCTACTGTCTCACCTATTTTTGTATGTGCATGTGTGAGACTTGCTCTTTATTTTTTGCCTGATGTCAACAGCTAGAAGTGCTTCTGCATTCACAGGCTCAAGTTCTCTTTGGGTGGTTCTCTGCTCAAGCCTGTACAAGAGACACATAGTTAATGTCAGCATCTGGGTAAGAAGGAAATTTTTATGTATGGTTAAAAATTGTAAAGTGTTAACAACTAAATTATAAACAGCAAAAACTGTTTACTCATTAACTATGTAAATCAAATGCATACCCTCTATTTGAACAGTGAGGCTATCAGTGACAAATACTTCTATATTCTTTGGAAAAGAAATCTGATATTTGAGCTTCTTGAATGTTGTCTTTTATCATTTAGCATATTTCAACACCAGTAGTTTCAATCATACTGTCTACATTCTAAATATTCAGTTGAAATATTTTTAAAAGGTGAGCTTCGTAGAAACTCCCTAAAAACTATTTTAAGAAGGTAGATGTGGCACAAAATGTTTTTCATTTGCAGAACTTTGTGAATAGAATTCTGAGTTTGTACTTCATTGATATATTTATAAAAGAAACCTTTTATATGTGCATATACATAGAAGGTTTCCTTCATTCTTTTTTTCCTTCTCTTTCTCCCCTGCTTCTTCTCCTCTTCTTTTGTTACTCAACATTCAAGTTAGGAATGTATCCAGCTGATCATAATGGAGGTCTGAATACCATAATGATCTGCACAGCTGGAGATTTTCTTTTCTGTCACGTAAATGAATTCCTGACACTGGCTTTTTAAGGTTACTGCAGTACCTGCATAATCACTGATGACCCAATCTATTTGGGGGATTTTACTTTGCTGTTTTTAGAGAGTGTGAGTGTCTCTGCGTCAGTAGGGAATGGCTGCAGAAAATTTTCAGGCAAAAATATAAAGGCCAAGGAAAGAAAATGTTTTCAACTGAGCCAGCTAAGTTTTCTTTTTTAACTTAGTTAATTTTACAAACTTGGTGTGGATCTTAGGCAATCCTCTTGCTTCAGCCTCTGTACTGCCAGGATTATAGAAATGAATCCCCAGGTTGAGTTAGCATGTCAAAAGTGTTTCTTCAGAAGCCCCACTTGGGAGATCTCATTTGATTTGACTAATAACAAGTACATTTTCTGACCTTTTGCAAAGAAGGTTGGGAAAAATAGATTTTTAGTCAGACACACAAATGCCCCAAAATACTCTCAGAATTCTGTTAGTGATTCAAATGAAAACTAAAACTAAAATAGGCAAATAGTGTAATCGACTACATCTGTGGCTGGCAAAGCCCAACAGACAGACCAATGCTAAGTTCCTGTGGCAATATACTACTCAAACATGGATGCCTTTTAAAGTCTCTTGAACTTTATATTTCTCCTCTTATCAGTAAAGAAATGGATATGAAGAAAACAAATAACCCAATTAAAAAGTGGGGTATAGAGAATTTCATCATAGAATTCTCAAAAGACGAAACTCAAATGAGTAAGAAACACTTAATGTTTAACATCCTTAGCCATCAGAGAAATGCAAATCAAGACTACTTTGAAATTTCATTTTGCAGCCACCAGAATGGAGAAGATCAATTAAAGAAGTGTCAGTTCATGCTGGTGAGGATGTGGAGCAAGGGGAACTCTTACTCATTGCTGGTGGGAGGGCAAACTTGTACAGCCGCTATTGAAATCACTATGTTGTTTCTTCAGGAAGATGGAAATTGATCCACCTCAAAATCCTGTTATACCACTCTAGGATATTATAAAGGACACTTCATCTGGTGGGTTGAGATGTTTACTCAACCATGTTCATTGCTGTTTGATTCATAATAGTCAGAAATTGGAAACAATCTAAATGTCCCTCAACAAATGACTAGATAAAGAAAGTGTGGTACATTTACACAGTTGAATGTTATTTAATTATTTAAAAATTTAAATTTTCTTGTAAATGAATGGAACTAGAACATAATCATCCTGAGTTAGGTATCTAAGATCTGAAAGACATTTATATGTATGTGTTAATTTATATGTGGATATTAGCTGTTTAGTCAATGTTAACCTGTCTGCAACTCATATAACTAAATATAGAGAGAGTAAGGGATTAGGGAAAACAGATAGATCCCCCTAGGAAAGGAAAATAAAATAGATAGTTATGGATGGGTGAAAGTTAGGACCTGGAACGAGAGTGTCAAATGGAGCTGGGAAGAGGGGAAGGGAACAAGGGACAGAATATGAGGAGAGATAACTACAATTAAGGATTATTTTAGGGACAGTATGGAGACGTAATGAAAGCAATCTAAAAGAAATTACCAAATAATGAGAAGGCACAGTGTAAAGTATCCATTTCTTGTTACCAAATGAAACTTTCTCTAATTGAGTTGTTGGCCAAAGGGAATCCTGAACTGGAATCCTGAACAACCCAGGCTGCTGCAAAGACTATAGACTGCTTTTCACAAACTGGCAGCTAGGCCTCATTGCTGAAGACAACTCATTGAACACGGAAAAGTCAAGTTGTTGCCTACGTAGAGCCTTAACCCCTTCTTTCTGATATTTTTGGTACAGAAACATACTCTGTATGCCATAAAAATGAGAACCATAAACATCAACCCAGACATAAACCCTGTATCAACATAATTAAACAATATCTGATTTGACTCCACAGAATGGAACCCATATCTGACACTATTTAGGTGACTAATAACCTGAGATTGATTTGCCCAGGAACCTAGGGTAAAACCAAACACTACTGTTTAAAAAAAGGGAAAAAAAAGTAATAAAATGACCCCTAAAGACATTCTGCTATAGTTATAGATCAATGCCTTGCTCAGCCATCATCAGACAAGCTTCCTCCTGCAGCAGATGGGAACAAATACAGAGACCCACAGATTGACATTATGTGGAAAAATTTGAGACCTTGGAAAACTCAGCCCTAAATGAGATATCTTCATCAAAATCCTTATCCCACGTTTCAGTGGAACAGGAGGGAAAAAAAAGTGTAAGAGTCAGAGAGAAAGGATATGGAGGAACCCAAGCCCTCTAAATCAACAAGGTCGATGCACACATGAACTGGTGGAGACTGGGGCCATATGCACAAGGTCTATATGTGTCTGCACCAGATCCTTTTCATATATATTGTGGCTTCCAGTTTAGTATGCTTATGAGATTTTTGAGTGTTGGAAAGGGTGGGTCTCTGATTCTTGAACCTTCTTAGACTCTTTTTCTCCTGTTTTTTTTTTTTGTTTTGTCCAACTCCAATAGGTTAGTTTTTGTTTTTATTTTATTTATTTTATTTTATTTTATTTTATTTTATCTTATTTTATTTTATTATTACTCCTTAGAAGCCTGTTTCTATTTTAATGAGAGATAGAAAGGCAGTGGATGCAGACAGGAGGGAATGTGGAGAGAAACTGGGAGGGAAAACCATAATCTGGACATGTTATATAAGAAAAGTATTTTTCCTTTCCTTTTTTTTCTTTTCTTCGTTTGTTTGTTTGTTTTTCAAGACAAGATTTCTTTGTGTAGTTTTGGATGTCTGGAAATTAACTCTATAGACCAGGATAGTCTCAGTATCAGAGATCTATCTTTGTCTGATTCTCAAGTGCTGGGATTAAATGAAAAAGAAAAGAAAAAAGAACACATTAGAAAACATAATCACCATATATAATATTCTTACTAGATGTGCATTGCTTCTTATTTTTGTAATGCTTTCTGTAAAGAAAAAGAAGGTGCCCTAATTTTTCCTCTAGCCATAATCACACTTAAAATATAGATCCACCAGTTGAAAAAAGTGTCCGCTTCTTAACTTGCAATTCATAATGTTCATGTAAAATTTTAGAACTGTTGTCATATTTAAGAAAACTTCTACTACATTTTCTTAATGCAAGAAATTTCTGTCATTAGAAAATAAACAAAAAAAATTAAATGAGATAAACCAAAAACTATTACATTGACATTGGAAAAAACTAAAACAGGAGGAAAAGAGTCCAAGAGAAGGCTCAAGAATCAGAGACTCACTCTTTCCTAAGCTCAAGAATCCCATAAAGACACTAAGATTTTAGGGAAGATTACATTTTCTTATCCTTTCTCTAATGAACCGAAACAGTCTTTAACCCTGCGACTGTTATTACAATTACATAATATATACCATTTCAGCTTATCTTTGAGTATTTTTTGCTTTATTAATTCATAAATTTTCACTAGCAAGACTATGTGAGGCTGGGAGAAGTCAGAGTCAGAGGAAGGTAGGGAGTTGGGTTTTGGGTGAGTACGTTGTATCAGTAGATACAATGGATTGGATTGGAGCCTTTAAATATTTGTGTGTGGTTGAGGGTGCCTTTAAGTTAGAAATGGAAGATTTCCTAATGAAAAATTAGCACATTAAAAAGTAAAAATGAATTATGTTAAAATTGTCATGAGGTTGCCTATGAATGTAGCTCAGCTGGTAAAGTATTTGGCTAGCATATGTGGAACCTGGAGTTTGACTCCCCAGCACTATACAAACTGGGGATAGTGTTACTCACCTGTAACACTAGCACTGAGAAAGTGAAAGCATGAAACTCAAGTCACTCAAAGTTACTCTCAATAGCATGAAGATTTCAAGGCTACTCTGGGCTACCTGAGGCCCTGTCTCAAAAAATCAAACGTCAGAGGGTTTGGGTATACTGACCATCTAGTTTTAGTGGTTTGCTGGTTTGTGAAACCTTCATTACTCAACTAGAAGCAAAAGTAATTGTGAGCTACAGAAACATATATCACTAAACATAATATAAAAATACTGCTAACTTAACTGTCTCTTAGTGTGAACTAACGCATGCCTAAAATGCGCTCAATGCCAGCCACACAAGCCAACTGATGAGAGGAGAGTCAGTAGAGAAAATGAGAGCAATGTGACTGATTTCAGTTACAACAAGTTATCACTTTGGCAGCACTTATACAAAAAATGAAGCAATGTAGAGAATATCAGCATAGCCACTATGCAAGAATGACACAAAAATTTGTGAAGTGTTCCACATTTAAAATAAACAACAAAGTGTATAAGTTTGTAAACTTTACAAAAGCATTTGGGAACAGGTACATAAAAGAGTGTGGGCTGCAGAGATGTCTATTTGTTAGCTTCATAGTAAATCCAGTCTCTGATTGGCCTTTTCAAAATTATGATTCCCTGGATCTCCTGAATCTTCCTTCCATGCTTATGCATCTCCATATTATTTAGTGTATTATAATATCATCTGTTTAATTGTTTACCATTTGCTGTCTTCTTTACCCTCTCTCAGATGAAGAGGCGTGATGGCTCAGCCATTAAAGGTGAAACTTACATCCAAAAGACAGTGTTGATGGACTCTTTTTTCAAATTAAGATATCTCGAGTGTGAAAGTTCTACACACACACACACACACACATACACACACACACACACACACACACACACACCATGTTTATATAATCAATAATTCAGTAGTTTCACATTTAAACAATTCGTAAATTGAGTTTTGCTTCTTATGTAGATATAAAAATGTTCATTTATATATTACATTTTTGGCTTTTAGAAAGAAAGATAGAAATATTACAAAACGTGATGATAATGAGGGTATGAGTGGGAAAATAGTTACAGTAGAGGCAAAAAATCTACCACCATCAAATGGTGAACAGATGATGTTCTTTTAAGCCATCTAAAAGATGCAGTAGATAAAGGAAGCTATATTTCTGCCTTTTCAGGTTAGTTTCAAAGAGGATTATGGGATGGAAAACATATATAACGGTCTGTGGAAAGCTAGCCTGGGTGGCAAGAAGAAACATAGCAGTAAAATATTTGAGTACATGTGAAAATTCTACTTGGCCCTTTAGCCGTTGAAGGAGAGTGAAAAGTGATGGCCATATATGTGGATATGGGTCCAGAGCTACTGTCTTTGATCAAGTATGTAGCATATAGGAATTTTCTGTAGAGGCAGAACGTACTTTTGTTATTTCATGGGTTCAGAATCCAATTGTTTTGACTGCAGCTCTCAATTACACGACATACCATTACTGGTAGTATCATTACTAGTAGCAAATTTTTCAAAATATGCACATCACATTTTCTCTTATAGATTATTGATAGCTTCCTTGCACCTTCACTTGCTAGTAGTGGAACTCTGTGGTGATTACATGATCCTACTGCCCATTACCACAGAGATCCTAAAGTAAGGATATATCATTTTGGTTATGGGAAACTAATCACCTAGAAAGAACTGGTTTCCAGTCAGGTGATTATCAGTATTTTAGAACTATCCTAGATCATTTGTCATTGAACATCTGGTTATAGAGGAGATAACAGAACCAATAGAAGGTATATAAGCAGTTCAGCCATAGACAGAGGTGACCAGGTTTGGATTAGAAAAAGATGAGCAACCAACGAAGGCATCCATCACCTCTGAAGAGAGGCAACTCCAAATCAGCAGAGCCGACTGTCAATTCACTAGCTACTGTGAGATCACCTGACTGAACTGAAAACTGTATGCCACAGAGCACTGAATGGCAGCTCTCATGTTCAACATAGAATCATCTTCCTGCTAGCGTGATGGCCTGTGTCTTTCTAGCTGTCCCAGTGAGGCTTTCCTTGTATCTCTTGAGGCAAACTGGGCCATACTCCTTATGATTCTGATCACTTCTGTACCCACCCTAGAAAGTGTGACTTTGTATGATTGATTTAAAGTAAAGGAAATAAAAGTAAAATTTCTTCAGACCTCTTAAAAACATTTCTGATAAATGTGTTCTTTGATTTTAGGGCAAACATATTTTTTTCCAAATTAATAGTTCAGATACTTTTATCCTAGCTTGCCCACTGAACATCTATCTGATAAGCTTGTCGAGGCATTCTGTAAAGTCTAACCAAAGTCTGTTACCTCACGCTGATGCTGATATCTCTTTGGAATGAGACTCCTAGTATCAATCATACAATTTGATTCCATGCAATATAGAATTATTAAGTAAAAACATTGAAAGGAACTTGAATTTTTTTCTTTAAATGTGCACATTGTCATAGAGGCATAGTACCAATCCAAACTAGAACCCAGGGTCAACTATTATGATTTTAATAATTTATATTCTTGTAGCTGACATGCAATGGTAACTTAAGAAAAAAACAAAAGAAAGTTGACTAAACTGCATTTAGTGTGCATGCAGACCTGCATAAAGAGTTTGTAGAAAGATTCTGAGCATGTATTTTGTAAATTGGAGCTATCATTGTGGTGGCCATGCGCCTATAGGCATTGTAGATTTTTCAAAATCAGTTTGATCCTTCTTCAAAGGTTCTAATAAGAAGACTCAAGAAATGTACTTTCCTAGACATTGGCCCTATGATCTATTCCAAGACTATTTCTCCTTAGACATGATAATAGTTCCAAGGGCTAGGAGAAGACAGGATATATGTCACTACAAAGTCAAAGGGGGTTAAAGTAAAGAAAATTACAATTCCACAGAAACCTATCTTCACTCTGCCTTTACTCTGCCTTCAATCTCTATGTGGGAGAATTAATTTCTTTTTTGCCTTTCAATTATTCAGCCTTAAAAGATGTTCTAAATAAATATTGCCTTTTTCCTTGATGCCAACAAACAAATATTCTGTTAATTATTCATGAACTATCCTCATACCTCTCATGTTCTTTCTAGGGCCCCTTTTAAAAGTTTTTACAAGGTACACTGTCTGCTACATGGAAACAGTTTGGGTAGAGTAGATCAAATTGGGCTGGCGCCTCAGCTCATAGGGATTCCATAATGTACTTATCTTGTTCCCAAGCTTTAAGAACTTGCCATTTCCCTCTGTTTTTCTCAGATATGTAATGGTTACTTTTTCCCTAACCCCTAAGTATTCTTTCTTTAAAATAAATATTTTTATTATTACTTGAAAATTTCAGAAAATGTGCCTCTGGAGTTGGGCCATCCACCGGCACATAGCCCACTTACAATGAGCCATACTCTTAAAGAGAATTGACTGTCTCAAGTATAATTGGGTCATTTGAGCTAAAGCAAAAGTTCTTTCCTAAGGTGTTTCAAGCTAGACGTGAGAGAAGAAAGCTTTTTCCTTTTGTTCCATAGACCTTTGAGTATATAAGTCATGCAGTAACTCCAGGGTGCTTCCCAACATGCCTGAAGTAGCCTGGAGGAGCACTAGGTTGAGCAGAAGGGAAAGTGATGCTGACAAAGATGGAGAAGAAAATGAGAGTTGGAATTCTTGTGATCTGTGTTAGCTTAGACTTCTCTTTCTTGGCAATGTCAGCTGATTCATTTGGTTCTCCTGTTAGAGCTTGAATGTGAGGTGTTCTCAATTGTCACGTGTGTTTGAGAACTTTGTTACTAGCTTGTGACACTGTTCCATAGGTTGTAGAACCCCTAGAAAGTGGGACAAGGGAATCACTGAGGGAAACACCTAGAGAGTTATAGCACAGGCCTAGTTTGACCAGAGTAGCCTTCTCTTTGTCT